TGGGTGGGTGGGTGGGTGGATGGATGGATGGATGGATGGATGGATGGATGGATAGATAGATAGATAGATAGATAGATAGATAGATAGATAGATAGATAGATAGATAGATGAATAAATAAATGTTTAAAAGGGTTTGGAAGGTTTAAAAGGTTTGGAAGATGGCTCTCCTGGTAAGAAAATCACTCACTGCACAACCCTTGATGACCTGAGTTTTTTGCTGTCCAGGACTCATGTAAAAAGCAATTTGTAGCCGGGCGGTGGTGGCGCACGCCTTTAATCCCAGCACTCGGGAGGCAGAGGCAGGCGGATCTCTGTGAGTTCGAAGCCAGCCTGGGTTACAAGAGCTAGTTCCAGGACAGGAACTAAAAAGCTACTGAGAAACCCTGCCTTGAAAATCAAATAAATAAATAAATAAATCAAGCAAGCAAGCAAGCAAGCAAGCAATTGTAAGCCGGGCGATGTTGGCACACGCCTTTAATACCAGCACTCGGGAGGCAGAGGCAGGCGGATCTCTGTGAGTTCGAGGCCAGCCTGGTCTAGAAGAGCTAGTTCCAGGACAAGGACCAAAAAAGCTACAGAGAAACCCTGTCTCAAAAATCAAAAAAAAAAAAAAAAAAGCAATTGTAGTGACTTGCATTATGTAATTCCAGCTGTGGCTAAATGGGAGACAGAGACAGGAAAAGCCACTAGGACCCCCAATACTCTTCAGTGTACAGCAGAAGTAATGAGAACTCTGCCTCAAAAAAAGAAAACTGATTCTCTGAAAGTTGTCCTCTGACCTGTACATGTGCTGTGGAACATGCCTGTCTGTACTCATATACTAAATAAACCTTTAAAAGTTTAAAAAAAATGCATATTTATTTATTTATTGGGTTTTTTGAAACAGAGTTTCTCTGTGTAGCCTTGGCTATCCTGGAACTCACTTTGTAGAGCAGGCTGGCCTTGAATTCACAGAGATCTGCCTGCTTCTGCCTTCTGAGTGCTGGGATTAAAAGTATGCACCACTACTACCCAGCTAAAATATGTATAGCTACACAGTGGTGGCACACACCTTTAATCCCGCACTCAGGAGACAGAGGCAGGTGGATCTCTGTGAGTTTGAGGGTCTACAGAGCAAGTTCCAGTAACCCTGTCTCAAAAAACAAAACAAAAATGTATTTACTATTATTATTATTGTGTGTGTGTGTGTACTATATATAGGAGAGTACATGCCGTGACATGTATATGGAGGTCAGAGGGTAACTTTGTAGGGTCCATCCTTCCACTTTTCATATGCATTCTTGGAATCAGACTCAGGTTGCCAGCCTTCCATCATCTGGCAGCAAGAACCTTTGCTCACTGAGCCATCTTGATGGCCCCAAAGGAATATTTATTTATTTATTTATTTTGCTTGCTTGCTTGCTTGCTTGCTTGTATATATGTAGTTGGGTGCTTGTAAGCTAAGGCACACATGTGGAAGTCAGAGGACAACTCACAGGAGTCAGTTCTCCCCTTTCATCATGAAACTCAAGTTATCAGGCCTGTACCCTCTGAACCATCTTTCCTACCATGATAATCAGTTTTTAATTTAGTTAATTAATTAAATTTTTAAAAATTCTACCTTCTTTTGTAATACTCTTTCCTCCTCATGTGTTTGATTTTCAAATGACCATTGTTAATCACCTAATGCCCATGTCAGAAACCTAGGACCCACCCTCTATTCACTCTTATTCCTCACTTGTCCTTTAAATAGTTACCAGTCTTGATGATCTCCCCACATATGGGTGTGTGTGTGTGTGTGTGTGTGTGTGTGTGTATTTTGTGTTTATTGGTGTCTTGCCTGCATCAGAAGCCCTGGAGCTGGAGTTAGAGACACGTGAACTGCTGTGTGGGTGTTGGGAATTGAGCCCCGGGTTTCCTGGAAGGACAGCCAGTGCTCTACACTGCTGAGCTGTCTCTCCAGCCCCATCTATTATTGCTTTTTTAAAGATTTGTTTCTCTGCTTGTAAGTGGTGGTGCACTTTAATCCCAGCACTAGAGAGACAGAGACAGGCAGATCTCTGAGTTCGACGCCAGCTTGGTCTACAGATCAATTTCTAGGATGGCCAGGGCTACATAGATAAACCCTGTGTTGAAAAACAACAACACCAAAAATGTTTTTACCTTTTTACCGGAAATGTGCGTATGTTCTTGTCTCTGCCCCTCCCTTGACTGTACTTCTCCAGGGTACACATTGTTTCCTATTTATATCCCTCCTCAGTACTTGTCACATAAGGATTTCACTAAGTGACTAGAAGGAAGGAATGTAATAGATGTTGGTTGGTCACTGGGAGTTTATTTATTTTTTAATTTCTTTTGATTTTTTCCTTAGTGAGAAGCCCCAGAAGTGGAGAGTGGAGATATGCAGTAATCAGAAGAAGGTGAAAACGGTGTGGCAGCTGAGTGACAGCGCTCCTGTAGATCACTCCAGTTTTCATAAGCCTGGTAAAGACGACTTGTAGTAAATTAAATCTTTCTGGGAGCAACCATTGTTACAGGTCTTTTCCTGAACTGTAGGTATAAAACATTAAAGGATCCCAGCACTCAGGAGGCAGAGGCAGGTGGATCTCTGTAAATTTGAGGCCAGTCTAGTCTAGCTCTAAAACTACAGCAGAACCCTGTCTTGAAAAAAAAAGAAAAAAGTTAAAGGAAAATCTGACTTTTTACCAGTGTAAGTATAATAATCACTAGCAAGTGCTTTTTTCTTATTGTTCTGAATAAATGAGCCTTTAATGAACAAGGGCAAGAAGTAGGGACACAGGTGTAGAGGTCAGTGATAAGATGGAAATGTTAGTTCACACTTCATACTGTAACCATGGTGATACTTCTTCCCTAGTGTATTCTTTGCAGCTAGATAAAAGTTGCCATTTATGGCATTCTGTCAAAGATTGCCCATGTTAGTCTCTTAGCTCTTTGTGTTATTAGTTGGCCTTCTGGCTTTTTTCAGTAAGCACCTTAAAAGCCTTGTCTTCATGCAAACTGAGTGTGGTGTTATCTCACATGTGGGCCTTAAATTGCCACATTCAAATATTATGTTTATCTGAGAATAAATCTGACAGTTTTCAGACAGAATAGAAGTTTCAGATTCCTTAATTAGCCACAGGTAGGAATGTAGTTTTACTGATTGATACTGTCTTAGTTTCTTTATTTTGCTATGATAAAATACCTAAAAAAGCAACTTAAGGAGCCTGACAGTGGTGGCACACACTTTTAATCCCAGCACTCAGGAGGCAGAGGCAGGTGGATCTCTGTGAGTTCCAGGACAGCCAGGGCTACATAGAGGGAGACCCTATCTTGAAAAAAAAAAAAAAAAAAAAAAAAACAGAACAAAAGGCAACTTAAGAGAGAGAATAGAAAAAGGTTTATATATTGGCCCACGGGTCAAGGTTCAGTGTTATCATGGTGGGGAAGTCAAGGCATCAGGAACTTAAAGCAAGCAGCCAGTTACATTGCATTCACACTCAGGAAGCAGAGAGCAGCAGTAAATACATTCTGCTACTGAGTTCCTTTTCTCCATTTAAACATCCATGATCCCTGCCCAAGGAACGGTCCTGTTCATAATTAAAGTGGGTCTTCCCACATCACTTAACATAATCAAGGTAATTCCTCACAGACATGCCCAGATGCCATCTACTAAGTGAGTCTCGATCTATCGATTTGAAATTAACACTAACACTAACCAACACAGCTCTACCCCTACCTGCCCCGGTCACCAAATAATCTCCACCCCACTCCTGGTGCTAATTGATATCCTAGTTTCTTTTCCTATTACAATGATAAATACTCAGATAAAAGCAATTCAAGGGTCAAGGGCTTTATTTTACTTCACAGTGAAGGTACAGCCCATCATGGTAAGGAAGTGAAGGCAGCAGTAGCTGTTGATGTAAAGTCTGTAGTCAGAAGAAGAAAGCAGCAATGCATGCATGTGTGCTGGTGTCAGTTCACTTTCTCCAATTTAAAGCAGTCCAGGGAATGGTTCTGTCCTTAGTGGGCAGGTCTTTCCACATGAGTTAACACTATCAGGATAACTCACAGTGTGCCCAGTCCTATTTCCCAGGTGATTCTAGAGTTTGTCAAAATAACAGTTAATATTATCACATATAGACAAAATGCAGAAAACTTTAAACTGAAAGAATTTTTCTGGAAATCATTAGTTAAAATCATGCTGTGTATTTTTAAGTAAGATGTAGAACTTAGAGCCAGGTGGTGACAGCATATTCAAGTTCAATGCCAGCCTGGTCTACAGAGCTAGTTCCAAGACAGGCTCCAAAGCCACAGAGAATCCTTGCCTCAAAACAAACAAACAAACAAACAAACAAAAAACCCATATAAATCCTAAGAATTTCTTCTCTGAAATTACGTTATAGCAGGATTCAGAAAAGACACTTATTGAGCCTTAAGTGGTGACACAGAAATTAATGTAGTTGGTTCCCAAGGGAGGGTAGCTCACTCTTCTCTTTTCTTCCTTCCTTCCTCCCTCCCTCCCTCCCTCCCTTCATCCCTCCCTCCTTCCTTCCTTCCTTCCTTTCCCTATTTCTTTCCTTTGTTTGTTCTTTCTTTTGTTCTTTTACTCTATTTTTAGTTCTTTTAAATGTCAGATTGTTTAATCTTGGCTTAAAAGGAGGGTTTGATATATAAACAATTGCCCTGGCTGAGTTTTGCCAGATTCCTTAGATTCTTTTCAAGTGGAATACAGGTATCATCCACGCTCCTTCTCATCTGCTGTGTTGTGGTAAATCAGCATCATACACGGAGTGAAACAGTTCTGACTGACCTCATTGTCTTTCTGGTTACAGATTTTTCTGAGCTGACACTGAATGGTAGCCTGGAAGAAAGGGCTGCTTTCATTAACATGGTTACCTGCAGCCAGGTGCACTTCAAGTAACACGTGCTGAGGGTCCCTGTAAGGTATCTGTGTTCTCTCGAATATGCTGCAATGTGTTTAGTGCCTCGTGTTTTATATACTTTTATATTGTTAATTTGAATCTACACATCAGGAATACAATTGTTCACCTGTCATCCCCTGAATGGCCTACCAGGTTATTACTTGACTTGGCAAGTCTCAGATTCCTTTTGTTGGCCACTTAATACATCTGCTAACTCTAGAATCAAAGAAATGAAAATGGCTTTTGCGTGGTAATATCTTTGCATTTTAAATTTGAAGAGTTCAGTTTCAAAATCATTGGTAAAAGAGAAAAATCATGAGCCAGGCGGTGGTGGTACAGGCCTTTAATCCCAGCATTTGGGAGGCAGAGGCAGGTGATTTTTTTTGTTTTTGTGGCCTGCTTGGTTTACAGAGCTAGTTCCGGGACAGGCTTCAAAGCCACAGAGAAACCCTGTCTCGAAACCCCCCCCCCCCCCAAAAAAAAAAGAGAGAGAGAGAGAGAGAGAGAGAGAGAGAAATCATGGCCAGGCGGTGGTGGCACACGCCTTTAATCCCAGCACTGGGGAGGCAGGGGCAGGTGGATCTCTGTGAGTTCAATACCAGCCTGGTCTACAAGAGTTAGTACCAGGATAGGCTCTAAAGCTACAGAGAAACCCTGTCTCGAAAAAAAAAATCGTAAACAGACCCCAATTTAACATGAAAAGCAATTTTTTAAAAATATTTATTATTTATTATGTATACAATATTCAGTCTGTGTGTATGCCTGCAGGCCAGAAGAGGGTACCAGACCTCATTACAGATGGTTGTGAGCCACCATGTGGTTGCTGGGAATTGAACTCAGGACCTTTGGAAGAGCAGGCAATGCTCTTAACCTCTGAGCCATCTCTCCAGCCCGAAAAGCAATTTTCTTAATAAACAGTTTTCCTCAGCTCACTTTCATTGGGCCCCAAATGTAAACACCATTTTTAAAATCTTACTTTGATTTTTAAAATCAAAAAGTAAGCACCACCAGGTGGGGCATACCCTTATTCTCAGCCCTTGGCAGGCAGAGGTCGGAGGAGCTCTGGGTTCAAGGCCAGCCTGTCTTGATAAACCTCAAAAGATTATGGGATTAAAGTGCTGGGATTTAAGGTGTGCATTACCCTTGCCCATCAGATCTCTTTTTTTGTTTGTTTTTGTTTCAGAAACAAAAATAAATAGAATTAAATAATGAGTAAAAATGCCTGATGTTACTATTCCCTCTTAACCCATTTGTCCTCTAATAAATGGAGATTAATTTTATCATAGTTAAAAATAAATTGGTCTTTAAGACAGGGTCTCTCTATGTAGTCCTGGCTGTACTAGAGCGCTCTTGTGTAGACCAGGCTGGCCCCAAACTCAGATCTGCCTGCCTATCTCCTGAGTGCTGGGATTAAAGGTGTGTAGTAAGTACCACACCAGCTTTTATTTAAATTAAAGAGAAAACAAAACAAAAAACAGAGACCTTTGTTCCCTAGCAGATGTTTTACCATCACAGCTTGATATTGCAGTGTCTCTGCTAACTGCAGCAGTGACTGACATGCATGGTCTCAGGACACACATGTTCCATTTCCTTTTTGCCCTCCTGCTTAGGTAGTAGTCTACAGCCTGAAAGGATTTTAGGTTGATGTTATCCAACAGATAGGGCAGTGCTTGAGTGACAGTCATTTGTATATTATAGTAATCTTTCCAGATACATGAAAAATAATCAAGTTACAAAGCTATAGGCTATATTCCTAATTTTGAAAAATGAAGTATGTGAATGATATTGTTGGACTCTAGTGTCCAAACACCGAGGAGGAGTCGCCCCCAGAGACCACCTCACACACCACAGCTGATGTAAAAGCATGAGGATTTTATTAATTCTGTCATGACAGGGTCCCTCAGCATTCGGGAAGCAGAGAGACCTCAGATAGCTGGTACAGTCTACTTTTAAAGGGGCCACAGAAGCAAGGGGGGTTGTTCTTTGACTATTCTGATGGACTTATTTGAAAGGGCTATTACCAATAATTGGCTGAAGAACTGTTGCCAGATCAGATGAGGTAAGAGGTCATTTTGACCCTGTTTCCCAGGGGACTGGGTTATATGGGTAATTGTTCAGGAACTGAGTACGTGCTCGAGTGTAGCTGTTAGGTCCTTGGTTCCCAGGGGAGGAGGGGAAGCACTATGGCACAGAGGCTGAGAGGATTCAGAATTCTCAAAATGGCTTCAGAATTGTCTTAAAGTCTTACAATATATAGCAAAATATTAACTCTTGACTTCAGGAGAATTGAGATTACAGGTTGCTTTCATTTTATTTATGCTTGTTTTTATTTTTATTCTTAAATTCCAGCACAAACCAAAAAAGGTGTGTGTGTGGGGGGGGGGTAATTTTCAAAACCTAAAAAATAGACATCACATAAATTTTTGAAGCAGAAAAGAAGCATGATTGTGAAGACCCTCCGGAAGATGAAGGTGGAGATGAGATCCCATCTCAGCTGTGGCTCCTGAGGAGGAGTGTTAGCAGCAGGGCAGCAGTGAGGATGGAGAGGGCGCAAACCGTGGGTACCACAATCTCCGAAGCCACGTGCATGTGCCTGAGCAAGGGCTCTGAAACGGACAGAGAACATTCCACCAGACATGAGCTTTGTTTTGAAACAAAAACTAAAGAAGAGGTACCATTGTGGGTTTTTTGTTTTTATTTTTGTTTTGGGAACTCTCACTGTAGACCAGGCTGGCCTTGAACTCACAGATCCGCCTGCTTCTGCCTCCCAAGTTCTATTTACTAAATGTGTGCACACTGCTACCATCCATTTTGACTATGGTATCTAATTGTTCTTATTTGTTGTAAAAAGAAACCACAACAGTAAATAAAACAGATTTTAAAATTATGGTGGGGTTGTAGTACTGAGGCAGAGCGTTCACTTGGCTGCACACAGCCTTGGGGGAATCCCTGCCATCACACAGAACTTATGTGAGAGCTGGAAATGTTACAGAAATCTGGGAATGCCTAAATTTGGTTCTTTCACTGGAACTTCAGGAAGCCTAAGTGTGGATAATATTTATGCTGGCATTAATTTCAACATATTAGCATCCATATTCCATGAGTTTTCTGGATTTTTACTGAGGAACTTATAAAAGAACCCTTCGGGCTGGGTATGGTGGTGCAAGCCTATAGAAGGAGTTCCAGGACAGCCAGGGTTACAAAGAGAAACCCTGCCTCAAAAGAAAAAAAAAAAAAAAAAAAAAAAGAATCCACTGGAAACATTTCTAGCTTTTTGAGTTTGTTGTTCTTCGTATATCTTTTTTTTTTCTTCTTCGTATATCTTATAAACCCTTAAGCGATGTAGGAATGTCTATATTACAAATTCTATGGTAATTCTTAAACTCGTTTGTTTGTTAATACAAAAACTCATTAAAAACCTAAACAATTATTTGATAATTCTCACATGGTTTAATCTTTAAGAACTAAGTGGTACGGGCACCAATCCGACGGAAGACCTTTATTTGTCTGCTGAGCACCCTGGTGACTGAAATAAACGGGCCTGGCTATGTTCTTATGAAGCTCACAGTCTCGTCAGCAAATCCTGTACTGCAGTCGTGTTGCATTTACTTTGATTTGGTGAACTATGGTTTACATGGCCTGGTTATTTAGGAATAGGGATGCTGGTGCATGGTTATATACTAGCCTGTAAAGATAGTTTGTTGAGAGGGTTTCTGCACCACCTGCTTTGATCATCTTTTGATTAAAGGATGATATTAAAACAGGAAGTATATTTTTTTTAATTGTCCTTATGCAGAAAAATAGATTTCAGAAACATTCTGTATTTTGAATCCTTTTAGATCCCATTGCATAAGAAATGATACCTTTTTAGCCCAGTGGTGGTAGCTCAGTCCTTTAATCCTAGCACTCAGGAGGCAGAGGCAGGCAAATCTGGGATCTGTGAGTTCAAGCAGTCTTATTACAAGCGAGTTCCAGGATAGCCAGGGCTACACAGAGAAATCCTGTCTTGAAAGAAAGAAAGAGAGAGAGAGAGAGAGAGAGAGAGAGAGAGAGAGAGAGAGAGAGAGAGAGAAAATGATGTAAAATGATATATTTTAAAGTAGGGACAGTACTTTTTGTTCATTGCTGTTAGCTCTGAGGCTTAAAATAACCCTCAAATATTAGGGAGTACTGATTATTTGCTGAAGATCTCTTGCAAGCCTGTAATCCTAACTACTTTGGAGACAGGAGTAGGAGGATCAAGGCCTATCTGGGCTACTGAGTTTAAAGTCATCCTGGGCAAGTTAGTGAGACCTTGTCTCAGAAAGCAGGGCCCGTGCTGGAGATGGCTCAGCAGTTAAGAGTATTGGCAGCTCTCGCAGAGGACCTAAGTTTGATTCCCTGTGCACACATGACAGCTTCTCACTGTAACTAGTTCCAGGGGTTCTGATACCACATCTTCTATCTTCTGTGCGTATCAGACATACACATGATAGACAGATATACATGCAGACAAAACTCTCATTCACATTAAAAAAAATTTTTTTAAGTAGGACTGATAAGATGACCTAGTGAATAAAGGTAGCCGCTCCCCAACCCTGACCACCTGAGTTCAGTTTTCTAGAACCCATGGAGAGATGAAAGGATAGAATACCACATAGTTATCCTGAGTGCCTCACATACTCTCATACACATCATACATACGTGTACATACATACATACCTACAATAGCAATAAATACAATTAAAGGTTGAAAATTTAAAAAGAAAAAGTGAAAAGGTTAGGGAGATAGCTCAATAGTAGAGCACCTAGTGTTTTGGAAGCCCTAGGTTTAATTCCTAGCAGTGCTACACACAAAAGTTACTTGCTTGATTAATATAAGACCCGTGTTTTGCTTTTCTTCATTCCAGTTGATAATAGCTGTTTTTTCCCTTTTTTCCACAAGCTCATTTTAATAAAACTGGTAGGCACATAAATTTGTAGTCTAATTCAAAAGAATGATTAGAGAAATTGAAATCATTCTTGTGAATGGAGCCATGGCTCAATCAGTAAAGCACTTGCCTTGTTTGACCTCTAAAACCCACATAAAATGATAAAATGGCAAGGTGCAATGTTCTTGGAACATCCCCCCCCCCCCCCGCCCCCCAGAGACAGGAAGAGTCCATAGCTAGCTGACTAGCCATTCTAGACTAATTGATGCGCTCCAGGCCAGTGAGAAACTTACTCTCCAAGGGAGTGATTGAAGTTCCTGAGTGTAACACTAGGTTGACCCTCTGGCCTGTACATATACCGAAGAAATCTCCCTCACTCATTTCTCATGTGCTTGCATGCTTTCTCTTTCTTTTACATTATTTGTTTTGTTTTGTTTGTTTGTTTAGATAGAGTCTCTAAGCCCACATTAGTCTGGAATTCATTTAGCCCATGTTGGCTTCAATATATATGCCTAGATAGACAGACATTTAAAATGCTGTAGAGACTGGGAGTTTAGCTTGCTTAGTATGTACAAAAGCCTACCTTCAGTTGGGTGGTGGTGGAACACACTTTTAATTCCAGCACTTGGAGACAGAGGTAGGCAGATCTCTGTGGGTTTGAGGCCACCCTAGACTATGAGAGCTAGTTCCAGGACAGCTAGGACTGTTAAACAGACAAACCCTATCTTAGGAGGGAAAAAGCCTACCTTCTAGTAGCTATGGCACCTAAAAAATAAAATTTTAAAGATGCTTGTATGACAAAAATTAAAGAAAAAGACATTTTTAGTCCTAAATGATTGGGAATATTGATTTTAGGTAGATCATTTTGCTACTTTTGATAATGCCATCATATGTAAAATTACATAGTTATAAAGAAAAGAATGTCCTCACCTGTGGCAAGCATCTGGTTGTTGATGGAGCAAGTTTCCAAAGCTTTGAGACGCCAACTTTCCACCTAATGAAAACCCACTTAGTAAGTAAGGTTGCCTTATGTTTTTCTATGTTTGAAATTATTTTTAGAATAAATGAAAGATTTTTTAATTTATATGCATTTGTATGTGTATATGCATGCATATACATGTAGAAAACTTGCAGAAGTCAGTTCTTTCCTAACACTTTAAGAGACAAGCCACGCCCACTCCCTCCCCCATCCGCTGAGGCAGGCTGATCTTCAGCTTCCGGCCTGAGCTCTCTCTCTTTTCCATCTGCATCTCTCTCCACTTCTCTGCTTCCCCCCTCTCTGTCTCTTTCTCCTCCTCCTCTCTCTTTCTCTTTCTCTCTCTCTCTCTCTCTCTCTCTCTCTCTTTCTCTCTCTCTCTCTCTCTCTCTCTCTCTCTCTCTC